AAGGTAAATTTGTAAATTTAAAATAAAATTATGTAGGTGTCCAAAAATAATGAAATCAATTTTGTTAGGCTTCTAAAATTATGATCTACCTACTAGTATATTTTGTTTACATAGTTTGATAATATTCTTAAAAGCTATATAATTAATTTGAGATACCTAATATTGTAAAAAGATAAACTTGTAGGAATTTTCGTGATAAATAGGTGATAATTTTAACTCTGAAAATTGTACAGTAAATTACGAATATTATTAGCTGCTCACTGTAATTTTTGTAACTCCAGAATAATTAGTTTGCTAGATAAATAATGATACCCTATTTTGAATAAAGATTAAATCGATAGAATAGATAAAGAAATGCCTTAGGGTTTCTTAACTAAAACATTTGCTGGAAAATAATGCCTTATTCGACAACGTGGATAAGTAGCTTAAGTACGATCGTCATTAGAACTAGCTCGTTAGTTTGAGAGGTGTAAATCGTATTTTACGAGTCACGGTTGTAGTCGATTAATTACGTTTTTGCATTGCATCGCATTGCATATCATAATAGGGACGTCGATGGATCACGGAGTCATCAGGTGTTGCTGGAGAAATGGTACTTTTGAAGATCGTGTCGCCATGGTGGAAAAGCTACCTTCTGATTAAATCTTACCAAGGCAAGCCCCGGTGTATAACCCTATTTTTCTGCACTTTAAATTATATTTGTGTATTAAATTTTAAGGAGTTGAATGAAACCCACTTGCATATATATATCTTTGTCCTATGAGTCCTACTAGTGTAACATGATCGTGTAGATTGCTATGCTATAGGACTCCGGTAGAAGTCGAGTGATTGCCTGTCACTCGCGAGAGATAGGAAATATATTATTGTATTATTATCACTTGGAATATATAAATGGTGGAAATGATAAATGGTGACCGAGCAGGGATATGGTTTGGGTATTGGTGGGTGTAAGAGGTTGTGTCATGCGGTCAATGGGGCATAGCGTGGTTACACTATTTTCCCTGTCTGTGTCGGTTAAGGACCGGCCGTTGCATTGGGCTCTAGGCATGTCACAGACTTATTATCCCGAGCACATACTTTGTATGGGCGTAGGGAAGACTTTTTACTCTCTTGTCATGGGTTCAGGCTCTTTTTGGACCGACTGTCAGGGTGGTTTTTAGGTATTGAAGGTCCTTGCACCGCACTGAGTCCGAAACTCATGAGCGGGGGCTTGGAGTCTCAGTTTGGATGGGGACCTAGACCCCATAACAGGAGGATAGTGGGTTGGTCCTACTTGTGCCTGAGGTACAAGCGGGGCGTGTGTTTTCGGGGTACCCAGCTGGAGGCATTGATTCACAAATCGCCGAACGATTCGGTACGGCTTGTCTATGGTCTAGCTACGTAGTAAGAACTGGAAGATGAAAGATGGTAAAAAAGATTCTAATTGCCTACCATATGCTTGAAAGTAGCACAGGTGCTTACATAGAATGGTTAGTTAATGAACTAATGCAGACTACTAATAAATTCAAATATAAGGACGCACATTTAGTAATGCTCCTGTAGATGTAATAAACTCACAAGCCAGATAGCCTTGCATATCCTTGCGGTCTTTTCTTTCCTCCTATCAGGTAAGTCTTGCTGAGTACAATTAAGTACTCAGAGTTTATTTCTCCTTGTTGTAGGTGACAGGTGGATGCTAGAGCTGATCCTTGTGTGTGGATTTCTCCTGGTGGGCTCAGAGAGGATTCCTTTACGCTGCGATCAATCTTATTTATAACTCTGACTAAATGTTTTACAAATAGAAGTTTTATAATATGTTGTCATAGATTATATATCAATGCTTCATCATGTCCTACATATATGTTTATTTCCGCTGTAACTCTGTTCACATGTTTATATTCCGCTGTTACATTTAATTATTCATAACTCTGATAGCATGATCATATTTCGCTATTATAAACAATAAACATTATACTCTGATATTACATAGGAAGTGATGTAAGAAATGGTTAATAATGATGTAAGCTTTATTCTCTCATTTGTGATCCTGATGAAAAAATATGGATTTTCGAGTTCTCCCCTGAGGTGTGCCCGACAGAACTACGTAATTTGATGTCCTCCTTTGAGTACTTAGTGTCTAATGAAAGACAAGTACTTCTGGAGGCATTAGATTAGGTGGTTCTGCCACAGTGCCCGACGGCGCGTGGCTCAGCTCGTTCTCCCACGCGGCGGCGGAGCTCTCTTCCCGCGCGATGGCAGTGCGACAACAGTGGAGTAGCCCTAGTGAGTTCCTCTCCCGATCTGTCCGTTCTCCTTCTAGGGTTAGAGTTAGGGTTAGGGTTTGACTGCTTCTCCTCGCGCCCACGGCGGCTCGGGGTGACTTCCCGCGCGGCGTTGAGGCGACGGCCGGCGGTGGTGACGGTGCGGGCGTTCCATGGTAGGAAAAAACCCCTTCTTTTCCTTTCTCTTCTTGTGATCTCGGGTTTAGGAAAACTTGGAAATCTTTCATCTCCTTCTAATTTCTTTTCTCTTTTCTACCACAAACTGGATCTACCCACTAGCAAGCATGCCTCTGGTACCATTGATAGAAATTATGGAACCTCTAGGTGCAGATGAGTGGGTAAAAGCATAACTTAGATGGGAGACTTGGTGATGTACCTATCTATGGCGCGACGCGACGCGCCTCTAGTGTCGCAGACGAGGTAGCAGCGAAGTGGTCACTGAGGTCGGAGTCGGGAAAGCCGTGCAGGCGTGGTCCAGTGGCAGCGGCGAAGGCGATGGCGCTTCCCGTCGCTTACAGCGCGCCCTTCTAGATCGGACTAGGGCTAGGACATGGTGGGGCGCTGGTGACCGCAGTGAACCTCGTGTCTCGAGCCTCAACCCCCACCTCCTATTTATTGCGCTACGCGATGGAGGCCTATCAACCAGAGAATGGCTGGACGTCCCCAATCAAAAGCGTGAATCAGGAGCCTAATTAACCATTGAGCCAACTGATGGGGATCAATGTAACAGCATGCAGTCGAGAAAGGCGAGGTGATCGCCAGCCTCTAATGGGTGCAGAGCCGGTGTCGTCAATCCTGTGGACATGGTGCGCTCTGCTGGCTCCGCCCGTCGAGGCGAAAGCAGCTAAGCAACGTGCGTGAGCATCACCGCAACGTGCATACGTATATGTGCTCGGCAGTTGGCAGAATTGGCTCTTCCGGCGTGGATCATCATGGTTTTCGAAGAGGCCAAGAGGGTCCAACTTGAGAGCATATAGACCTGCTGGCCTCGTATGTTTTTTTTCCAACCCAAAGCATAAAATGTTCTATAATATGCTGCTTCTGTTAATCCATATAGCTTCATTTATATCTGAAATTAGATATGTATTCAGTCGTGCCAAGGTTTTACTGTGTTTAGCACCTTTCTTATCTCGATTTTGGCTCCGCCCTGCACCTCAACGGTTTCAAGGAGTGGTTACTGTAGCAGCACACTGCTTCAATTTGCCTAAGCTTTTCTATAACTACGCGACTATTCTTCTTGATCCTTGACATGTTTTGTTGGCTACCTATTACAATTACAGACAACAGTTGCGTCGATGCGTGCCAGCTCAAGAAATAGAAGGCGTGCACCGAAGTTTTCAAGGCAGAGCACATCTTTGTAAATACATCCGAGCAATCATCTTTGCAAGTACAGTCATTGTCACGAAGTTAGTGATTATCAGTCACGATACAGTGTTTTTTCTCTCACAATAAATCAGCCAACAGTGCTTTTCAGCTTGACGTTTCAGCGAAACGAACATGGCCTATGTGTTATCGTGTGCCTCTATCGATGCTTTGGACTTGCACCTCCCTACACGGCTTTGACCATGTCCACCTCACCCTCGACTACTTAGGTGACAAAATGGGCTATTGTCTGCATGAGCTAGTTATCAGCTTATCCTCTACTCGCAATATCTATTGTTGTCTAATAGATCGTCTCCTAACTCTCTCTCTTCAAGTCAGCAAAAATTCTATGTAGCGATGCATGAGACAACTTAGCAGACCGCTCATGTGGAGCAATGTACCTGCCCTGACGTGAGGGGGGTTGGGGGGAGGGGGGGGGGTTTGGTACCTTAGTCTTCGTCTTCGAAATTGTTCACTAGTCTGGCCATTTACGATGCTCTCGCTACAACTAAAGGGAGAGAAGGACGATAGAGCCACCATGCAGGAGGACAAATTTTGGAGGATTGAGACCTCGTTTAGATCTCATTATCTAAAGTTTAGTTTAACTCCCGTGGCTCTAAACAAGAGCCCTAAAGTGTTCTCTAAAGTTTAGACCATCAAACACAAATTTTAGATCACACAAGTGTACTAAAGTGATCAAAAGTTTTAGTCGTCAACTTTAACCATTAAACTTTAGACAAAGAATCCAAAACAGGCCCCGAATGGAGGAAAAATGAAAAAATTTGGAGGATTAAAATAGAGAAAAAATAAAGAAATTTTAGATGATGGAGGAAAAATAAAGGAATTTTGGAGGATTGAAATCCTATATAGAGTTTTTTTATAAGAGCCTTTATTAGAACAAAAGAATGAATCGTACGAATTCTTTTGAAATTCCTATAAAATGGTTTTTTTATTGAAGGAAACCCCTATAAAATTAGCCGTGTCCTGTGGAACTTTCAACCTCATGTTTTTCTCCAGCCCAAATGCCTATACGGGCATACGGCCCAGGTGGACTTGGGCGACGCAGGGGGTCCACCCACCCCCGCCTGACACGTCACATACCGAACCCGGCCGCGCCTCGTCGTAGCGACTAGCGAGGCGATGACCAGCGCAGCAGCGGCATCCTTTTCTGCGATAAAAAAAACCCGCGACTCTGGTCAGAGAGGGAGGGAGAGAGCGAGCTAGAACCGACAGGAAGACAAGACAGAGGGAGCGGAGCCGCCGCGCGTGCGCTGGAACGTAGGCGGCGGGGGCATGGTGGGCCGGGTGGCGGGCCGAGGCGGGAGGCCGCTGCTGGGCGGAAGCGGCGGGGGCGGGAAGCGCGGCGGGAGGCCGTCGATGGCGGTCGTGGCGGCGCTGCTCCTGCTCCTGGCGCTCGGCGCGCTATCGCTGCCCGGGGCATCCGAGGGCCGCGACGCGGGGCTCGCGCGCCTGCGCTCGCACTTCCACAGATCCACCTTCGACTCGTGCGTCCCCCCCCCCTCTCCACGATCTCTCTACCGCGCGGTTTTACCCTGAGATGCTTACTCCTCTGAGGTGCTTACGCGTGGTTGCTCGTGCTTGCGTGCTGCAGGGGGCTAGAGATGCGTGGGGAGAAGGGGGAGCCGTGGACGGAGGTGCTGTCGTGGGAGCCCCGCGCGTTCGTGTACCACAACTTCCTGGTGAGTCCCTTGCCTCATTCGTTTCTGTTTGGTGGGAAGGACAAGGACCACATGTTCTAGATGCGATTTGCTTCATACTTTTGGCCAGGAGATCTCGAGTTTTCTGTTGTTTCAGTTATGTTGAAATCTTGGATGAGCAGTTGGCGCAGCACCAGACCTGTTGATACCCTGATTATGGAGAGCGATCGAAATGGCTTAGCCCTTTGCCAGATTCCTTACTCCTTTTTCAGTAACATTTACGGACGCTTTGAGAAAGCCTTTGCCCGAAGTGGCTGGACAAAAATAGTGGCATTGGGTTATGCTGCGAATGAGATGCCGAATTGTGTGGCTTTGTTAACTCTTCCAGATCTGGGCGGCAGCACTACTGTCAACTATGCAGCACGGATACGGATACACGTATCGGAAGGATACGGATACGCGGATACGGCAATTTCCCAGAAAACACAATACGCGGATATGTTTTACAATTTTTTTAATAAATAAGTAATAATGTAAATTAAAATTCTGAAAGTCTATAACTTGAGTAATCACTAATCAATTAATCATTAGTTCAGTACTCTACATGCAATCGTACGTGATATATACATCACCAGATTACCTTGTAGGTTTCTTGTTTTCACAGATGATCCAAGTCCAACCATACTGGATGAATCCGCAATTACTAAAATTCTAGAACACGAGAAGTCAGGAACAGAGAGCCCCCCTATCGTATGTTGTGGTTGTGGCCAGTGGCCACAGACCCGATGCTAGGACCCAAATTTGGAGAGGTCATCTACTGCATGCAAGCAATCAAGCATGGCCAATACTAATCAGGGAGGGTACAAACAAAACCAAGCAACAAGAACTGCAGCAGAGTAGATCAAGAATGGGGAAGGGGATGTACTCATGGGATGTCGCCAGGAGCTTGCTTTGTTGTTGAATCGTCCTCTCCCCTGCATTGCGGGAGCTGGCTGCGGCCATGGCGGACTGGTGGGTGCTCCCCAGTGCGGCAGTTTGGAGGAGGGGAGAAGTCAAATGATGCCTCAGACGGGGCGGAGGCTCGTCGCCGGCGGCCGGCGAGCGGTGGTGCATGCCTTGCGTAGGAGGCGGCGATGCTGGCCGTGGCTATGGCGGACTGGTAGGTGCTCATCAGCGCGGCAGTTTGGAGGTGGAGGAGAAGTTGATTGCGGCGGCGCACGTGTGTGCAGGCGGCGGCGCGAGTTGCGACCGTGCAAGGCGTCGCGACGGGGACTCGGGGAGATAAGGAGCGTTTGTTGGGCTGGGCCGTATCAAAGAGATGGATACGTATCCGGCCACGTACTCAATATTCCAAAAATTAAATAAAAATGGGATACTTGGAGGATACGTATCGGAGGCGTATCCGATTCGCAATACGGCCCCTCATTGACGTATCCGTGTTACAGAGACTGTCAGTGTACTTGAATTGGCTAGTCTACATATGAGATATGAGATATGGCTGTCATTGAGCTTCACCAAGAGCCCAAGAGTTGAAACTGAGCCAGGGGTACTAATCCTCATTTACTGTCAGTGCCATGCATATTTTCAATTGCCGCGGTGGTGGATCTGGAGTTCAAACTCAGGTTTTCAACCAGGCTGGGTATTTGCTTTGTGTTATGATTATCATTTATCAATTCACCTGAAACATTATAGTTATTGAGACTTATTCTCACTTGCCAAAGGCCCAAATCATTCGAATGATTGTTAAGTCATGCTTGCTGTTGTAGAGATTGCATAATAGAAAATGAAGTAATATCAGTATCAGTGTCATGATCAATTTTTCATAATCAACTGTGTTGTTACTGCCAACTATTTGAAATCCATTTTAGTTTGCTTCACCAAACAATCAGGTTATGACTGAATTTTATGTTATTCTCAGTCCAAGGAAGAATGTGACCATTTGATTTCACTGGCAAAGCCTCATATGAAGAAGTCAACAGTAGTTGATTCAACAACTGGAGGGAGCAAGGATAGCAGGTTTGAACATTTACCGAAATTCCAAATTCAGGGATGTTACATCATCTGTGATGCTCATTTTGCTTCATGGACATATATGCAGGGTGCGGACAAGTTCAGGAATGTTTCTTAGAAGAGGGCAGGACAAAATAATTCAGGCAATTGAGAAAAGGATAGCAGATTACACCTTCATACCTGTAGGTACGTAGTATTCTTGATGGGTTTAATGTCAAAGTGCTTGCCTACTATTTTGTGAAGGAAACAAGTCAGTATGCTCAACAGACATTTAGACTAGGTTTAATGTTCGGATGGTGCTGTTTGACACAGGCACACAGCTAGCTTGTACACTTAGTTATCTGCTTCATGGAATGACTGAAAGTCCTTACTACTGCTCTAATATTCAAATGGTGCCTAACTTTAAACCGCACTTTAGGTCCTGCATTCATCATACAGATAGAATAGCCTGCATTGTGGATTTGTGGGACTGAATCACCAAATTGTACTGTACTAAAGATGTTAAGACAATCACAATCTCTGGAAATGCACTAAACTTTGCGCTTCATTAGATTTAATAGATCCTTGATTTTGTGACAGTTTGTAGGATATCATGCCAATGTACTTCAGTATGACCTTGGAGGTTTCAATGCTGTACATGTCACTATGTAAGGTCTCACTAAAATCTGCATGATGTGAGGGAAAAAATGTATGTACTGATTGTTGTACTAACAAGTACTTCCCCAAATTTAGATTTTTAGAATAGTACAGCTTGTGCAGTTTCGCTGATGTGGATGGTTTGACATTTAAAAAAAAAGTATGTAGATGTACATATACCCAACAATATGACGAGGTACAAAAAGGGGCCTCAAGCAGTAAGTATCAAGTGTCTATTTCAGCAAATAGAAAAATAATAGACCATTACAGCGTAATCTGGTGGGCACCCCTAAATGTGAATAACAATCAAGTCTTTGAACATTGGTGCCTCTGTACCTGATTATTTTGTACTGCAGTTTTACTTCAAATGGCATCAGCACTTCTCTTTATTGTTTCCCTGTACTTTCGCAGAGCATGGTGAGGGTCTTCAAGTTCTCCACTATGAAGTTGGGCAGAAGTACGATCCTCACTTTGATTACTTCCATGATGATCACAACACCAAGAATGGAGGCCAGCGTATAGCAACTCTTCTTATGTATCTGTATGTATTACACTGTTGGTATTCTATGATATGTGCCGTTGGTGACCCAATTGCCCAGTTGACATTTTGTATGGCAATTGCTATTTACTAGTTCGGATGTTGAAGATGGTGGCGAGACTGTGTTCCCTTCGTCGACAACAAACAGCAGCTCTTCACCATTTTATAATGAGCTGTCTGAATGTGCAAAGGGCGGTCTATCTGTTAAACCAAAGATGGGAGATGCACTTCTGTTCTGGAGCATGAAGCCTGATGGATCCCTGGATCCCACAAGCCTGCATGGTGACATTACTTGATCTTTGATGCCATGCCATGTTTTCCAACAGGCAGGTGTTATGCCACAGTACACTGATACTTCTATTTTTCTTCAAATTTCCTTTAGGTGGATGCCCAGTGATAAAAGGCAACAAATGGTCATCGACAAAGTGGATGCGTGTTCATGAGTACAAAGGTTAGATACAAGAAGACACAGACATGAGGTACTAAATTTTGCTCAGAAACCAAAATGGTCCTTATACTCTGTTTTTAGTTTGGCAATTGCAAAAGTAGTGCTGGGCCTCTACCTTGTACCAACAATATCCCCGACATATGTTGAAATGCCTGCGGTCAGCTTCGAAGATACATTTCAAATTCACTGAAATTTTGTCGACTCTTTGCAGGTCATGCACCGGTTCAAATTCGTGGACATTTTGGCATATGTCGAGGGTTTCGATTTTCCATAGAGGATTAATTTACACTTCTTCTTTTCTAGCTGTTACTGAGGCAATGTCTTAGGCTCCGTGTTGTACATTAACATGTTAGGCTGATGAGCATAAACCTGATGATTCAGAGATGGACGTGTTCGGTGTATACTGCCATTGCCCTTGTTCAAATAGATGTCTTATTGATGTTGAAAATATCTTTTCTTTGTGTGTGCGACTATCCTAGGCTTTTCTCTCTTTTTTTTTTGTGGTACCCAATACGCAGCAAAACTGAAGGAGGCTTTTACATGTATGCCATTAAAAAAGTTTGTAATTACACACAAGCCATTAAAAAAATTGACCGCACACGAGTGTCATCGTTTTGAATTTCTTTGCTCTCCAAGCTATTCCGTCGGTGTTATGTTCGTTTTTCACCATTACATGTGGACCCGGTCAATATAAAGGTCCAAAATACCCCTCATCTCTATCAGTATAAAGCCTCGCGCTTCCTTCGCTGTCATCACCCGGTCGAGCCTCACATCCACATCCCCGCCTATTTACCGACCGCGTCTCCCCCCACCGCACGCCTTCCTACCCCCGCGCCTGCCTGCCTACTCCCCGACACCGGGGCCCCAACGATGACCCGCCCCTGCGCGGTGACAGCAAGCCGGGACATGGCGCGCGGCGGCCTCGCCCACCTGCTTGCCACGCACCTCCTCTTCGTCATGCTCTCCACGCTCCTCTTCGTCCTGCTCGCCACGTCTCTCGCCGTCGAAGCTTCCGAGGCAGAGGCGGACCTCACGCCGGTGGCGCCAGCGCAGGGCGTGTTCGAGGCGGCGGCGGCGGAGCCGGACGCGGACGCGTACCAGCACCTCCTGCCGCGGCCGCTCGTCATCGAGCTCCCGTCAGCGCGGGCCGCGGAGGAGCCCGACCCCGATGCCGACGTCGACGACGTGCCGACGGACATGCGCTGCGCCAGCTAGCGGCTGGCGGCGGAGGCCAACAACCTCGTGCCGTGGAAGGCGTTGCCGCCGGAGTGCGCGCAGCACGTGCGGGACTACGTCACCTACGCCGCCTACTGCTCCGACCTCGAGCTCGTGGCGCGGGAGTCCGCCGCCTACCCGCGCGCGGCCTCCATCAGCAGCACCGCCTACGCGCGCGCGGCCACCATCAGCAGCACCACCATCTCCTTCTTCTTGGCCACGGCGGAGCGGGAGGCGCGCCTGCACCTCGCCCCGGCGTGGAGCGCGCGGCGGGCACGCCCACGCCCGCGAGCATGAGCTTTGATGGAGGGGATGGCGGTCGCGGGCTCGAGCGCGAGCTCCGCCGAGCGGGGCTTTGCCGGCCGCGAGCTCAAGCGCGAGGGGAAGCCGGGCGTGGACGAGGACGCCGCTGCTGGAGGGGATGGCGGCCGCGAGCACGAGCGCGAGGCCGGGCGGGGACGACGCTGCCGCTGCCGGAGCAGGGCTCTTCACCTCCTGCGGGCGCGCTGCTCCCCCCGGCGCCCCCAGCAGCCGAAGGTGGTCGGACCGGCACCTCCGCTCCCGTGAGTGGCCAGGGGCGAGACTGACGATAGCCGAGCTCCAACGAGCACCCGTCCGCGCCCGCCGCCGGACGCGTCCCGCGCCGTCGGCCGTGACACCTCCAGCGCCGCCCTGTCCCCGTGCGCCTCGCCCCACGAGCTCCAGCCGCCATGGCCGCGTGCGCCCCTGCCCGCCATGGCCTTCGGCCGCGAGACCTCCAGCGTCACCCTGGCCCTGCGCGCCCCGCCCCGCCCCGCGAGTTCCGGCCGCCATGGCCGCACGACCGCGTGCTCCCCGAGCCGCGTGCGCCCATGCGCGCGCTCGCCGCACCTAGGGCCGCGCGGTCGGGAGCAGCCCGGCCTGCAGTGGACGCCGCTGCTGCTGGCCGCGACGGCCTGCACAGCTGAGCCTCGCCGCCCTACCAAGCCGGGAGCTGACCCCGTCGTCCGCGACCTCGTCAAGCCGGCGTTCGGGTCTGCGGCCACGCCACCTCAAGTCCGCCTCTCGCTCCATGGCAGTCTGCGTGAGCACGTCCCTGTGCTCGTGCACGGCGGTGAGGTGGAGGTGCGGCGGGCCCTCGTGCCGCGCGGCCAGCAGGTGCAGCAGCTCAAGCCCGCGACTCGGGGCGGAGGAAGCGCAGCGAAGCGAAGCTTTGCGAGCGAGGGCTCTGTCGGCCGGCGAAGAAGCTGAAGGCCTTGGCGAAGCGTGAGCTCGCCGCACGCGGTGCGAAGCTCCGCCGGCCTCGGACGCGAGCGCGAGCGGTGTGGACGAGAGAAGGATATTTTTGACCTTTATACTGACCAGGCCCACATGTAACGGTGAAAAAAACGAATAGAACACTGACGGAATGGCTTAGAGAACAAATAAGTTCAGAACGATGGCACTCGTGTACGGTCAATTTTTTTAATAGCTTATGTGTAATTACGAACTTTTTTAATGACATACGTGTAAAAGCCTCCAACTGAAGAAGCTTATACAATGTGTCTTGTTTAGCCTAAACCGAAACAGGATCACCTCGAAACATTGTTGATGTTAAGCTTGGAATCTGAGTGGCGGGAGCTCGTGGCTAGTCCTGCGGCGAACTGCGTTGTTTAGCAGGATAGCAGCGGCCGTTCTTTAGGAACATGAAATCAGCGGCGCGTTCCACGCGTTGCTCAGAGCGCGCGACAGACGTGCAACCAGCGAACTCGCAAAACATTTTATAATAACCCGTGCACGCGGCAGTCATGGGAAACGGCGGTGGGACTGGCGATAAGACGAAGACGAAGGCGACAGGAGGCCTCACCGGTCGCGAACCCTCCTCCTCCTCCAGCCACGCCTCGAAACGGCGTCGGGGCCTGCGCGGCGAGCCGATGGCTGACCGCTTCTTCCCCAACGACTTCGTCGCCGAGGCTGAGGCCTCCGACGGCGACGGCGAGGGGCACCGCCCCGCGGGGCTTCGGGGCCTGCTCTCACTTCCGTACAGTAGGCTCTCCGACCGCTTCGTCCGCGCCGCGCGCCGCCTCAAGGACAAGGTGCGCCCAGCTACTCGCTCTCTCTCATTTCCTCTGTCGCCCGCCCGCCCGCCCGCCAGGTGCTCGACTGATGGCTCTCGGCTTACCCTCCCTGCAGGTGGTGGAGGAGACGTGGGTGAAAGCCGGGCGGAAGGTGACGGACTACACGCTCTACACGGGCTCTCTCGGGACAGCGCTGCTGCTGTTCAAGTCCTTCCAGGTCACCGGAGACCTCGGGGACCTCGCCCTCGCCGCTGACATCGTCCGCGCGTGCGATGAAGCGTCGCGGGGCCTGCCGTAAGAATAAGATGACCGACCAAGCCCCCCCGCTTTTCTTGTTCATGCTTGGTGCTGGTTGCTTTGGTTGGATCTTCCTGTTACCTGTTCATAATTGTATGGAGGTGTGTGGCCTGGGTGTGTAAGGCGCAGGTTCTTGACATTCATATGCGGGAGGGCCGGTGTCTGCGCTCTTGGAGCGGTGATTGCCAAGCATTGTGATGATCAGCTGAGGGTCACTCAATATCTGAGCTCCTTTGATGAGGTGAGGCTTCTGATAAACATTGTCCTGGGTTTAGGAGTCAATTTGTTAACTTTGTATGTGCAATGCACTGTTGCCACGTGAGTGTAGAAAAACAGGTACCTGCTAATCTTGTAGACTCAGCTGTCCTTTGTGATGTTGTAGATAACAGTCACTGAGAAAGTTCCAAATGAACTGCTGTATGGAAGGTCAGGTTATCTGTGGGCTTGTTTGTTCTTGAATAAGCATCTCAGCTAGAAGACGATCCCTCTCGAGCACATTGTATGTTAATGCTATAGTTCTGTTATATAAATTCTCACACACATTTCCTTTTAAATTATACTCATGTGAAAGGCACTGGAAATCTTATTGTATCAGACCACGTCAACTGTAGAATTCTGTGGCGAAGGACATCATCAATGAGGGAAGAAATCTTGCAAGCAAGGGGAGTAGCCTGCTGATCTGATGTACGAATGGCATGGGAAGAAATACTGGGGTGCTGCCCATGGTCTTGCTGGAATCATGCATGTGCTCATGCACACTGAACTGAAACCAGATGAGCAGGATGATGTAAAGAACACCCTGCGGTATATGATCAAGAACAAGTTTCCCAGTGGCAACTATCCCTCAAGTGAAGGCAATGAATCGGATCGCTTGGTGCATTGGTGTCATGGTGCCCCAGGTGTTGCTCTTACGCTTGCTAAAGCATATGAGGTGATTTCTGCATCTGTTTACACTTGCTCTAGCTAAAGCATATGAGGTGATTTCTGCATCTGTTTACACTTGCTCTATTGAATATCCTATTTGCATCTACATGTTTATTCAGTAGACGTTCTTGAGATCTTGTAAGATGTTTAACTAATGAGTGAAGCTGCGAATAACCAGTTGGTCTATTAATCTTTAGAGTTTGGATGTGGTCAACTGGTCACCATGAGTAACAATATCTGTATTTCAGGTATTCCATGATGATTATTTCAAGCAAGCAGCTGCAGAGGCTGCTGAGGTGGTTTGGAACCGAGGGCTTCTGAAGAGAGTCGGAATATGTCACGGTGTAAGCGGGAATGCCTATGTGTTTCTCTCACTCTACAGACTAACCGGTAATGTTGAGTACCTCTACCGGGCAAAGGCTTTTGCCTGCTTTCTTCTGGAGAAAGCTGATCGGTTGATAGCCGAGGGAACCATGCATGGTGGACTGGTGGTGATCGGCCGTTTTCACTGTTTGAAGGGAAGGCTGGGATGGCATACCTCCTCTTGGACATGGTTGATCCATCTGAATCATGGTTCCCGGCCTATGAACTTTGAGAAACCCAATCTGTACAATTACCCTGTGACTTGTGAGGCTGTGTGATAATCCGGCAGTCTGGAAAACTCTGAGTTTGTGTTTTCTCGTCTACTCTGTAATGTGTGCTTGGACCTCGGTGGCGCCTGCTGTGTTTGTAGATTTGTGTTGCTGATGTTGCAAAGATCTTCTGTGAAGTATGCATGATCGTCACATTCTTACTAAGACGCCATGACCCTAACTACTCAACCTTCAGCTGACATCATTCCAACTTGGCTTCCTGCTCTTTGACTTTATGTTTTTTCCTTATTTTTGAAACTTCTATTTCATGTTTAAACTTACTCTTCTTCTCTATTACTAATAGAGAAATTTTACGGTGCTTGGGAATAACAAGAGCCTTTTGTTCATCTAGATCTAATGGTTAAAAATGTAAAGGAACCTAATGAGAGGAACTTAAGTTGTGGGCCAGAACTTAAATTTAGCGGGCTAGGAACTGATTTCTATATTTATCCAAAGGGTATAATGGTATTTTGATCGGTAGAACCTATCACACCAAGTTAATCAGCAGCGGCGGTGCCGGCCCAACCGATCCTGTCGTCGCTGGGAAGGTGCAAACCTCGTGGCTCCTGCGCTGCCCCCATCTTCTAGCGGAACCGACTATTGGACCACCTGTAGGAATGAAGGCGACTCTCTAGCAGCGTACGCCGGAGAAGAGCAGGGTGCAGGCACAGAAGCGTACGCCGGAGAAGAACATAAACAGTCTTTTGAGGCAATGATAAACAATCTGTATTTGTGAATAAACAGAAAATTCAACTGAACAAACATGTAATGCTAAATGTCACTTTGGAAAAGGAAGACTATGTATTAACAATCTGCCCCCGATATCCTAGATTTTGCTATTCTGCTTAGAGAATCAGAATTCAGGACTGTTGTATTGACTTTAGTAATTTTTTACTCTGCCTGTGTTGAACATCTCTAGAATGCAAAATCACACTGCTTGATCCGCAATGCAATTATCATCAGCTGCCACCTCCTATACTTTGTTCTACACTTCTACTTGGATGAGGTCATGAGGATGGGAATCTCATTGCCAGTGAGCCCTTGGGAAAGCAGGCGAGCGACCCCTGCAAAGCTCGGAGTCGTCGATCCCCTGCAGCGGCCGGCGGCAGGCCCTTTCAGGCGGGCGCCGGGCAGTGTCGATCCCTTGCAGCTCGCCGGCAAAGCCGCAAGCCCTTGCAGGCGAGCGATGGTGAGCCTGGGCAAGACAGACGCCGGCACCAGTGTGCCTCGTGCAGGCTAGCGGCGGCGGCGGCAAGCCGCCGAACTGTCTCCGTCACTGATGCATGTGTGCGTTCCGTATACTAGTGAAATGGCTAAACTATCCTTAATTATATTTAATTAATTACTTTTACATCAGACAGCTGGAAAAAAAATTCGTAAGAGGAACTACCGGTTCCTCCAAGCACAGTAAAACATCTCTTACTAATATATGCCGGGCAGAACTCCTGCCGGCCCTTAATAAAATAAAACAAAATAAAAACTTGGCTTCCTGCTCTTTCCTTGCCATCAGCTTCACCGGCATCCGTAGGTCCTACAGTCCTGCTTAGGATCGACCCGCTTGCACTAGTCTCCCGTAGACAGTATTACCCCGAGCCACCATTGTCTCAATTTGTGGAACGAAACTCGAGACATTGCAAATTTGCAATCATTCTCAATTTGTGGAACAAAACTCAGGACATTGCAAATTTGCAATCATTTGGGCCAGCAACCTCGGTTGAGGGATTGTATATACACCAATCAGGCGAACCAATTCCTACAAAAGCATCGAACAGAACCAGCACAATCAGACAGTCCCCAGTTCCCAAGCAAACCTAGCTGACAGAAGAACATGCAAAATTCGGGCTGATGTAGCCGTGGCGCGCATCCAGGTCAGATCGGGCTCAATTGGTAGTGGGTGGGCTTTCGCTCCAAAAGCGATGTTTGGGATATCAATATCAGACCTCAAACGAGAAAGATAGTATTAGATTAGTCATATTATATATTTGTATAGTACATTTATTTACTATTTTTTTTATAAATCTAGTCTAATTTAAAATTGATTGCTTTAAAAAAAACGAGAGTGCATCTTTTTCAAGTACAGCTGCCTTCGCGGAGGTTTTCAGTCCTGCTCGGTGCAAAAGGAGTTGCACGCCACTGGTGCAGTGATGCTGATCGATGGATTATATGGTTCCTGCCTGTCCAGTGTTTGTCCTCGCCCCGTCTTCGGAAAACACCAAGTTCCTTTTGAGAATTCTGTTGTATTCATGGTTTAAAATTTCGTGTTTGAGATTCCTTAGACTTTTTTTTCTCGCTTGTAATAATAAACAGCTATATGTATTAGTCGATGCAGAGGCTAGGATATTAATATATTCTCTTTGGTAGAAAAGTTGCAAGCTGATGTAGGCTTGTAATCATGGGAACTATTTATTTTATTCACAAGAGATTTGTTGCATTAGTATTCAATGTTTCCACAAACTTATGTAGGCTAAAGAAGCCAGGAAGAAAGCTATTGATGACATGGATCCTAAGATGAAAGAGGCATTCGAGAATATCAAATTTTACAAATTTTATCCTGTGAAAACCCCAGACACGCCTGATGTAAACAATGTAAAGGTATGCAGTGCTGCTGTTAAGCATTCCTCAGTTAAAGCATAACTGAATAGATTTAACTTTGTACCTATTGTTTTCTGCAGGCTAGGTACATCAACAGATACTACAGGAATGCCCATTATCTGATGTGAGTTTTTTTAATTTTTCTTTTTTCCACGCCTTAAGTTGAGCTTTTGAAGTATTGGTAGTTATGGCAAAAATAAGTCGCGCTAAAATTACGAGTTTTCTGTTCTGAAAGTTCAGTAGTGATTCTGTTTTAGAAGGTTGTGCATGCAATGGCCTGCTAATTATTCAGTGAATCTCTAGTCCCGTGCTATTAAGTACTGCTAACTGGGTGGGTATACAGCTAATCGGTGATTTGTTTGGAATTTATTTCTGTTACAACCTCTTATTTGGCCATTTTAGGAATCGGTTGGTGTTTATCACTATTCTTTTGTTCCCTAGGCGATAAGGCTCTCCTACAAGCCTGGGTGTGTCCCTGGTACTTTGCCAAAGCAGTGAAGGGTCTAGAAGACAGAAGTGTGAGGGAATCAAGGAAGGGGTAGTCATCGCGCGCTGGTGTGTGTGTGTGTGTGTGTGGGGGGGGGGGGGGGGGGAGCAACAGGAAAATGAGTGATGGTCTGACTGCCGGGGTGAGGAGGGGAGTGGTGGTGCGGTGGCGCTGTATAGCCATTGAGGTAAAAGCGCTGCATGAAGGTCGGGGCCTACAACATATCTACTGTAGGTGAAGGGGTGTATTTGATACGTAGCCCTCCGAGAGTATGCCCAGGACACTCACACAAGACACAAACAGACATTGGATTGTTGGTGGTGGAATACCTGCAGCTTTTCTGTTTTCTTCTGTATTTATACAGAGTTGAATGTTACATTCAAGTATGGTATAATAATCTCCTAATTAATGCATTCAATGCCTTTATGATCTGCCCATTATCTATAAGCTGAAATCTAGGTAGCACTAATAGCAAATAACCTAGACACTTGCTGAACCTGGACACATTCATGCACCACAAGATTATTGCTAACAGTATTGTCTGGGCCAGCCCCATCTCTTCTCCTTCCCCCTTCTCTTTTTACTACTGCAGTAACAAAGCCATTCAGTCCCAACCAAGCCATTTCACTTTTCTGCTCCTCATTTTCCTTCTCCTTTCTCTTCCTCCTCCCTCTGCTTCTGTTTTGCTGTTTCTTATGATGTGTATGGTGTCACGTAGGCATTTGTTACCATTTCTTGCTTTGCCAACCTTAAGACCATTGGAATATTCATGTAGGCACTCATGGACACATTCATTGCTTTGCTACCTTCTAGTAGCTCTGAAATATTCTTCATGAAAACATATTAGTTCCTGCGTTAATCACAACAACAACAAAGTCTTTAAGTCCCAAACAAATTGGGGTAGGCTAGAGTTGAAACCCAGCAGAAGCAATCAAGGTTCAGGCACGTGAATAGCTGTTTTCCAAGCACTCCTATCTAAGGCTAAGTCGTTGGGTATATTCTATCATTTCAAGTCTTCTTTTATTGTCTCTACCCAAGTCAACTTTGGTCTTCCTCTGTCTCTCTTCACGTTACTATTCTGGCTTAGGATTCCACTACGCACCGGTGCCTCTGGAGGTCTCCATTGGACATGTCTAAACCATCTTAACCGGTGTTCAACAAGCTTTTCTTCAATTGGTGCTACCCCTAATCTATCACGTATATCATCGTTCCGAACTCGATCCTTTCTTGTATGACCGCAAATCCAATGCAACATATGCATTTTCGCGACACTTATCTGTTGAACATGTCGTCTTTTCGTAGGCCAACATTCTGCACCATACAACATAACAGGTCTAATCGCCGTCCTATAAAACTTGTCTTTTAGCTTCTGTGGTACCCTTTTGTCACATAGGGCACCAGATGCTTGGCGCCACTTCATCCACCCTGCTTTGATTCTATGGCTAACATCTTCATCAATATCCCTGTCTCTCTGTAGCATTGATCCTAAATATCAAAAGATATCCTTCCTAGGCACTACTTGACCTTCCAAACTAATGTCTTCCTCCTCCGGAGTAGTAGTGCCGAAGTCACATCTCATATACTCAGTTTTTGTTCTACTGAGTCTAAAACCTTTGGACTCCAAAGTCTCCCGTCATAACTCCAGTTTCTGATTCACTCTTGTTCCTGCGTTAATGTGATTTGCAAACTTATCTGCTGTTTAAATTGCAAACTGTATTCTTGTATGCTATCCTATCTGCTGACATTTGTAGATACACTCGAGGTGAGTCATGCATTGGGCTGGCCTTCATGTGCATTTTGATCCTTTTCAAGTATCATCTGTAATTCTTAAATGTTGAACCTATGCTATGATTTTTTATTTCAAAAGTATAGTGATCTACTAGCAGTTTGATTTCATGTGATGCATCTTTCTAATGTTCTTGATAGTGATTTTCTCAATGAAATGATTGGTTACATGATGTTTTTGGTCATCTCCAGGTAGCTGCTAATGGAGATCGACAGCCTCAGAGAAGGATTTGATTGAGTTGCTGAGAAACGTTCATTATCTTCTGCTAAAGCTCTGGAAGCTATCAAATAGTGAATGAAGTTGAGCAGGCTATTGTGAAGCTGCAGATGATGAATACAGATTCTACTGGGAATGTTGACCACCCATCCATCCTTGCAGAACTGAAAGCTAAGCTGACTGAAATGGCACCGATTTTTTTGTTTTTTAGTCCTTTTTTTGAAAAAAATTCATAAATATGCCCCTGGAGGTATGCTTTCAAAATTTGGACTCTTAGTTCGGCGCCATAGATTTTGGCGCTTAGGACTTGGGCTCGGCGCAGACGTGGCGGTGACTTGGCAGTCACCTTGGCTCCGAGCTTATTGGCGCTAAGCCCTGTCTTACGTATGGGCCCTCCCTTCCTTTCTCTCTTCCTCTCTCTCTACCGCTCCGGTGACCCCGGCCGCGACACGGCCCCTGCTCCCAGCGTGTCGTGACCTTGCCGTTGATCTCGTCCTCCACGTCCCTGTCCTGCTCTGGTCCCGGCGTCCGCGTCCGCGTTGCATCGTTGCATTGACTTGGACAAGTAAAATTTTTTAATATGCAATGTATGTACTTAGCTTGAATTGTAGTGCTACTTTGATTATTTGGTAGTTTCTAGTAAATTTGATGATGTAGGTAGTAGATTTAGTTAGTGAGATAGATATAGTTAGATGAATATAGTTAGATAGCTAGTGACATAGGTACATAGATATAGTTATAAGATAGCTAGTTGATTTAGTTAGTGAGATAAATATAGTTAGATAGCTAGTGACATAGTTATTTAGGGTGTAGTTGGTTAGTATCTATTAGAGAGTACTATATAGCAGCTACTTTAGACTAAACAAACTGTATTTCAATTTTTGTTTGAGCTACTAGATGGACAACCTGACCCTTACACTTTAGGCATTGACGCTCTTGGTCACAAGGGTAAGGGTAAGACTAGGAGGCAGTGAGGATTTGTGGTAGATGTTATTATGTAGTATTATGGACTGTGTGGACTTTCATTATGACTATTGTGGACTGTATGGACTATTATTATCGAATATGAACTACTATGGACTATAATTATGGACTGTGTGGACTATTAATATGCTCATGTATATGGTTTCAGATGAATATGGCATATATTTGTATGTTTGTATATGTTGTATTGAGGTTAAATATTCATCTCATATTTGTGTATGGATTGCATCAAAAAATAGGAGAAATTATGGCGAAATTTTCTGCCTAAAGTACGTATTAACCAACGGCATCATTTTTTTAGGTTCAAAATAGTGATTGATGTCTGAAATCGAATAGGCTTTTCAGTCATGGAATCTAGGGGAAATAGCCTTTACAATGATTTGTCATGTCACCTCTCAGCGGTATCAGTTTTCCTCCGAGAGCAAGAGTGATTTCACTAAAGAGTGCCCTCTCAGAGAATACGATAATAGTAAGGAAGATTAGCCAAAATGCATGCATGGTGAGGACTGCTTAGTGTAGATGTTCACCGAGGGGATCGACGAAGGTCGTCGCTTCTTCAAATGCCCGCGAGCATGGGTAATTGCTATTACATATCGTTTGTTAAATATGTATCTCGAATACCCTTACAACTCACAGGACATACTTATTGTAGTCTTCTGAGTCCGAAGAAAACTGTGGGTTCACTAGGTGGGTCAATCATCGACCAATTTATCCGCATCAACAATACATCATCTACCTGCAGAACCAAATCTTTAATCCATAAAGAGAAGTTAGCAGCGGGTATAAGGAAGACGAAGATGACGACAACAACAATGGTGCAAGTTCACAGGAGGCTCTGCAATGATCCATATTGTATCTGCCCTAATCACAAGAACAAGGGGCCTCACCGTCACCCCCGTCACCACCACCAACAATGGGAGGCTGCTGTGGAGAATGTGCAATACAATTTGCTATGTGGTCACACTATTAGGACGATCCTATCTTATTCATATGGCACATCCATATGTTTGTTGTTTGATTTAATTACCTAAAGCATGTTAGGTTTAGTCAAGGAACTATGTACTCTTATTTGGTATATGTTCTCACATGCCATTTCTTGTGCTTGTTGTTCGCTTCAATTACCTAAGGCATGTTAGGTTTAGTTCAGGGCCTATGTATCCTAGTTCGGTACATATTTTCACATGCCATTTCATGTGTTTTGTGTGTTGAATTAGGTAATGCCCTACTTTGTTAGGTTTTGTTTGCAGCACGTGATCATATTTCACTTCGTCCGTAATATTAATCTGAATATTATGTCCACAAATAATGAAAATAATTACATAATAAAAAGTTTAATACTATGACACATTAAACAACACAATAATACTAGAAATACGTGCCGACAAACTAAATAACGCAGTACATGACTTAAGCATGCCCATACTTAAAGTGCATTACATGGCAACACAATGAAAAGTCCATAGAACTAGCAAGTAATGGAGACTACTGAGTGCAATGATGCCACTTTCCCTTCCTCAGGGCATCGAAATTCTCCTCCATCGCTGCTTTCGCTCGGCGTGCACGCTCAAGCTTCTTCTCCCTCTCCTCCCTATACGCAGCAACATGCATCCTTTTCTCCTCTTTCTTGTGCTCTTTTTTACAGCCTTCTCTTCGCA